TGTGAGACTCAGGCCTTCAAGTTTAGGTCTGCTTCTTTTTGTGAACTTTATGTGTCTTTGTGGTTTACTTTTTGGGCATGAAAGGCTGGTTTGTCTAAGCTTCCGGTTCTCTCTTTTGATTTTATATTAGAGTGGCCGGATTGCTTTTGTCTTCAGGAGTTCCCTCAGAGGCCCAATTCAGATGAGGGTCAGATGTTTTCAGGCTTTCTCCTAGGGTCTGAATCCCTCCAGGAATGATTTTGGCCTCAGGAATTTGGGGGTTGGACTGGCCTGGTTGCCTGGCCCTGGAAAGATGCTGGTCTAGGGCAGCCGGTGGCTGTGCCACCCAGAGATGCAAAGGCAGATAGGGGGTGGGGATAAGAGGCCCCAAGGACTCCTGGGGACTGCACTGAGGAACTGTGTTGCTTCCAGAGAGAGGCCTGTGGGTAGCTCTGTAGTATTTCACTTAGTACAACAGTTCCTAGTTCCATCCATTTACCTGCAAATTTTATCATTTATCAGTTGAGGGACATTTAGTTTGTTTCCATTTCTTAGCTATTGTGAAAAGAACAGCAACAATCATGGCTGTGTAAGCATCTCACAGCAGGATGAGTTCATTTGGATATATGCCAAGGAGTGATATGATTGGAACATACAGTAGGTTTATTTTTCGTTTTTTTATTTTAAATTTCTATTGAATTTTCGTACAATAATCTGGTGATATTCATACCTCTCCTCAAAGGCCCCCAATTTAATGTGATATATATATATATATGACCCATAGAGTCAGATTGGATTCCCAAATATCCTTCACTGTATGTCCATCCACTGGGCCCACCAATCCCACCCCAGTAAGACACACTCTCTCTCTCCTCCCAACAGCCATCAATTGCTAAAAATTCCTTAGGTTGGGTTGGAATTTCCTACCTACTTCTCCATGTCTATGCTGGGATTTTGTCTGGCTTAAGCTTGCATAGAACTTATACATACTGTCACCATTGCTATGATTTCATATGTTGATCATTTGTCTGGAAGACTCTGTTTCCTTGTGGTCATCCAGCCCTTCTGGCTCTTATAATCTTTCCCCCCCCTCTTCCATAATGATCCCTCAGCCTTGGGAGGCAGAGATTTAAAATAGGTGTCCTATTCAGGGATAAGCACTCTACAATCTCTCTTCTCTGCACATTGGCCAATTGTGGGTTTCTTAGCTAATCATCATCTGTGAAAGTTAGGAAACTTTTCTGGTGATAGTTGAGAGATACATTCATCCTAAGTGTAGAGGCTGCATTGAGGATGTGTCACTTAGGGTAAAATGTCTCACAGATCCTTAGTCTCTATGTTTAACCAGTTGTAGAATGCTATGTTGTCTCCATATGTTGCAAAAAGAAACTTCTTTCATGAGGGGTGAGAGGTACATTAGTCTGTGAATATGAAGATGCATAGTTAGAATATTGTGAGAAATTACATAGGTCTGGGAATGTGACGAAACTTAGTTTCTCAGATCTATGACCTTTCTAGACATGTATATTTGGCTGTTTCTAGTACCACACATGCGTTCCATCCTCCTTTATAACCTTCCCTCTCCCTCCCCAGTTAAAGTATCCCCTTTTCTCCATTTCTCCATTAATGCCCCTCTATCTTGGGTTCCTCCTTTATCCTCATGATTCCTTTCCGTTTTCCTAGCTCCAGGATATATACTTACATCTAGAATTTGGAACTAAGATTCACAAAAGAGGGAGAACATATGTCACTTGTGTTCTGAATCTATGCTACTTTACTTAGTATAACAATTTCTAGTTCCATTCATTTACCTACAAATTTCATTATTTGATTTTTCATTTATGCTGAATAGAACTCCATTGTGTAAATGCCACACATTTTCATTATCTATCATCAGTTGAATGACCTTTAGGTTGTTTCCATTTCTTAGCTACTGGGAATACAGCAGCAATAAGCAGGCATGTGTAAGTATCTCTGTAGTAGGATGAGTTCATTAGGTATATTCAAAGCAGTGGTACAACCTGATCATGTGGTAGACGTATTTTTAGTTTTGTAAAGAGTTCTCCATAATAATTTCCACAGTGGTTGCACCAGTTTGCAATCCCAGCAAGAGTGGATGAGGATTCCACTTTCCCCAAATCCACACCAACATTTGGTGTCATTTTTTTCCTTTTAATCTTAAACATTCTGACTGGGGTTAGGTGAAATCTTAAAGTAGATTTGATTTGCATTTCCCTAATTACTAAGGATGTTGAACACTTTTAAAGTATTTCTTAGCCATTGTTATTTCTTCTTTTGAAAGCTCTCTGTTCAGATCCATAGTCCATTTTTTAATTGCATTGTTTGTTTACTTGATTCTTTGAGGGTTTTTTTAGTTCTTTTTATATCCTGGTTATTAATCCTCTGCCATATATGTAATTGATGAAGATTTTCTCCCATTCTGTGGGCTTCCTCTTCATTGGATTGGTTGCATCCGTTGTTGTACAGAAGCTTTTTAGTTTGATGAGGTTGGTTATGTGTCCAACAGGAAGGAACTTTTACTCTGCTTTTGGCTAATTCAATTTGGTTCTGTTAATACTGTTTATGTAGCTTAGTTTGTGTAGCTTTTGTTCAGGTCTGAAAGACAAATCGGTGAATGTTTCAAGCTCTTGCAGGGTAGTAGACTGGTTAGAATCCTGGCTGATCGGGTCTGTCTGCCTGATCTAGAGGCTGGGATGTTGGGGGTGGGGGGATCACCTGGGAAGGGACTTCAAGATCTACGATAGGGTGTTTAGTCTGGGTTGGAAGCTAGTCCAGGGATCTGAGGTAAAGAAATTGGGTCCTGCCTGTGACAGAGGGGTCGGGGTGGGGGTGGGTGAGAGGAATGGAGTAGAGAGGCAGTGAGCAGGATCTGACTTACCAGAGTCCTGGCTGAGCAGGTCTGTCTGCCTGATCCAGAGGCTGGGAAGTTGGTGGTGGGGGCACTGCCTGGGGAGGGACTTAGGGATCTATGGTAAGGTGTTTAGCTAGTCAGTTCAGGATCTGAGGTGAAGGAATTGGAGCCGGCCTGGGTCCAAGGCTGTCAGAGTGGGTAAGAGGACTGACACCATCTTTTAAATAGAATTGGATCCTGACTCTTCTCACTGTGCAGGAGGAGACCACTGATCCAGGCAGCTTCCAATCTCTGCCCTAGCTTCCTAACACTCCCAGCTGCTGCTTTACATTCCATTCTCAGCCCTAGATCGAAAATCATCACCTTTTATGTAACTTAGTTCAAGTCATCATTTAGTCACACTCCAATCCTCCCCATATCACTCTGAGTAAAATACATGTTCCTTCTGATGTGTCTACATGACCCACCCATCCAAACCCTGCCATCTTTCTGGCATTAGAGCCCACTTTGTGCTTCTGCCTCATTTTGCACTCATGTTTGGGTCTTCTATTTTGCTTTGTTGATCTCCATGTTTCTTTTTGTGGCAATGCCATGCTTTTTAATTACTATATCTCTGTAATATAGTCTGAGGTCTGGTATGGTTATCCCCACTGCATTCTTTGTGCTGAGGATCTTTTGTGATTCCATAAGAATTTTAGGATTTTTTTTTCTAATTCTGTGGAGAGTGTCATCGAGATTTTGATTGGGGTTGCATTGAATCTATAAATTATTTTTAGCAGGCTGGTCATTTTCACAATATTAATTCTGTCTTTCCATCTCCTGTGCCTTCCTCAAAAATTCTTTCTTCAAATATTTAAATTTTTATCATAGAGGTCTTTAATATCTTTGATTAAGTTTATTCTTAAATATTTCTGAGGTTATTGTGAATGGGAGAGTTTCCATTAATTCAGTCTCTGACTCCTTGTTATTAATATATAGAAAGGCCACTGTTTTTTGTTAATTGAATTTCTTGACATTTTCTGGTGGAATTTTAGGGATCTCTTATGTATAATACCATATCATCTGTAAACAGGGATAAATGACCTCTTTTTTTCTGAATAGTAGCCCCTTAATTTCTTTCTCTTGTCTATTTCTCTAGTAGGAGTTTCAAGCATTATATTGAAAAGGAATGGGGATAGTGGATAGTGTTGTCTGGTTCCTAATTTTAGTGGGAATGCTACAAGTTTTTCTTCATTTTGAATGATGTTGACTGTATGTTTGGTGTATATATATTTAATTATGTTGAGGTGTGCTTCCTCCAGTCCAATTCCCTCTAGGACTTTAATCATAAATGCATGTTGAATTTTTCAAAGGCCTCTTCTGTATCTATTAAGATGATCATGTGATTTTTGTCTTTAATTCCATTTATATGGTTTATTATTACTTATTGACTTATGTGTATTGAGCCACCCTTACATCTCTGGAATAAACCCAGCTTGATAGTAGTGGATGGCCTTTTTGATGTGTGTATGTAGGTGATTTGTATTTTGTTGAGAATTTTTGCTTCTATGTTTATTAGGGATATGGGACTACAGCTTTCTTTTTTATTGTGTCATTACCTTGTTTGGGTATTATAGCAATACTGGTATCATAGGCGTTTTGGAGTTCTCCCTCTGTTTCTATATCTTTGAATAATTTAAATAATACTAGTAGTAGATCTTAGAAAGTCTGGTAAAATTCTGCTCCGAATCCAACTGGGCCTGTACTCTTTTTGGTTGGGTGGCATTGTATTACTGTTTCAATTTCCGTATTTGTCAAGGGTCTATTTAAAGTGTTGATCTCTTCTTGGTTTATCTTTGGTGAATCCATTGAATTTAGAAACACTTCCTCTTTTATATTTTCTAATTTAATAGAGTTTATCATATGTTCTTAAAGTATTTCCTTATAATGTTCTGTTGGTGATGTTTCCCCTTTCATCTCTGATTTGGTTAATTTGGATTTTCCCTTTATTTTGGTTACCTGCGCTATGGGTCTGTCTGTCTTGTTAATCTTTTCAAAGAACCAGCTCTTAAATTCAATGATTCTTTGTATCATTTTCTTTCTATTTCATTGATTTCTGCTCTGATTTTTATTATTTCTTCTCATCTGTTGGGCTGGGTTGGTTTGTTCTTGCTTTTCCAAAATTTTAAGTTGTATTATTAGGTCATTTGTTTGTTCTCGTTCTGATTTTTTAATGTGGGTGCTTAGAGCTATAAACATCCCTCTTATAACTACT